TCTGACCTCTGCTGCCAAAACACTGCTCACTCGGGGCTCGTCCCTGACTCCAACAGCCTCCGGCCACCCCCCACTCCCCAGGACGCCCTCCCCACGCCACCCCTTGCCAGTGCCCCCAGATCACCTTGGCACCATCCCCACCAAGGCTGTCCCCTCTGTCTTGGGCGCCCTCCTCACCAGGGCCCTCCTGCACCTCAGATCTGCTGTCCACCATCACAGAGGTGGCGCCCGCCTTCCCCACCGAGAATTCCAACGCAGCCCTCGCCCTGGCTCACGCGCCCCGCACACCCTGCACCCAGCCCTGGCAAATGCCCCTCTCTCTGTGTCCCCCGGGTCACAGCCCTGAGCCCCAGCCCACACCCCGTGGCCGCCGTTGCCACCGCTGTGCGTTCCCCCTTCCTGCACCCTCCGCCTCCCTGGCCTTCCCCAGCCACAAGCCCCGGGACCCATGGACCCCTGCTTCTGCCTGTCCCCCCACACACAGCCAAGCCCAGCCAAAGCTCTCCCAGAGGGCAGCTGGTCTCTGGACCAAAGGCCCACGGAGGTGGCGACTCACTCCAGCCCCCGCTGGCCCTTCCCCCTCTCCACAGTGGCTGTTCCGTCCTTCCTGTCCTCTCCTCAACGTCCACCATCAGGACCCCGGCCCTGCCGAGACCTCCCCACAGGAGCCCCTGCATGTCCCGCCCGCGCTCCCCACTGCCCGCTCCCCTCCCCGTGGAGATGGTGGTCAGCTCTGGGCTCCCCACCCCTCCCATCAGCTGGTGGCCACCGCCTCCCCTCTCCTAAACCTCCACTTCTCCTACTCTGCTGGGTCTCTGCCGCGCCATGTCCTGGTGGCCTGGCCTCCCATCTCAAGACACAAAGAGAGACCCGCGGCCTTTGTTCTGCTCCTCAAACAGTTTATCAGAAGAACAATCTGCAGCCTCCTCCTCACCTGGCCTTAATTGTCCACCCACCGGTCACGGCCATGACCCGGGTCCCACACTCAGTCTCCGGGCCTACTTGGCCTCCCAGCAGCCCTGGTGGCCCCTCCCTGCTTCCCCGAGCCTTCTGCTTGCCCTCCTGGATGTCTCCCGCCCTGGCGGGTCCTCCAGTCTCCCTTGGGGCCAGGGTAGCCAAGATCCCAGTTGCCAAGACCCAGGGGCTGCTGGCCATTGTATCTGGGGTGTCACCTGCTCTGTCCACACTGAGCTCCCAGAGCTTGGCCTCCCCGGCTGACTTGCACTCCACACTCCTGACCCGGGTGTCACCTCCCACCCCTGTGGGTTCCCAGGAAACCCCCGTGCCAGTGACTCCCGGAGGGGGCCTGCGCCCAGCCTGCGCTTCCAAGCCGTTCTGCGACTCCAGAGCAGAGTCACTTGTTGCTTCACCCTGTGTCCCTGCTAACTGGTGGCTGCCACAGACCCTGGGGTGATAGAGTAGGGATCTGGGCTCACCCGCGCTGAGCGCTGCACCCACCGCCTTCGAGAGGGCACTCGTTGAATCCTCCCAACAGCACCTGGGAGGCCACTTTAGTAGAGGGAACCTGAGGCCCAAGAGGAGAAGGAACCTGCCCAGGATCATGCACAGAGGAAGCCCGGAGCCCGGCTGTGAACCCAAGCCCCCCGCTCTGCAGCCCACAGCCTGATCCCTGCAGCAGGAGGCCTCACCTGGTGTAGACGGGACCCCTGTCTTGGACTTTGAGCTCAGGTGAACAGTTAGTACCTCCCCACGAGGGCAGGTGATCCTGCAGTTCAAACGGCCTCTCTGTCCTTAGAAGTGCAGCCAGAGGTCCCATTTGCCAAGAACCAAAGAAATGTGCAAGGGAGTGTTCAGAACCCAGCCTGGAGCCAGGGTTCTGGATGTGCGTGCCAGCTCTTTCCCTTACAAGCTCTTGAACCTCTCTCCAACAAGACATTGACTTCAGGCCTCGAGCTCCTCGGCTTAAGAACCAGAGCTGTAATAGCAAAGGTTAAATGAGAAAATCCATGAAGAGCTCAAAACACGGCGGCATCCTGGAGCAGGCTGGTATTTATGGAGAACACACTATGTTCTGGAAATCAGGCGGACGAAGGGCACAGAATGGAAAAACAGACTGGGTGAGGGATGGGGTAGGAAAACCAGCCCCTGGGAGATTTGGGTCATTGCTAGCTGAGCTGCTGTGTCTAAAATGAGCTTGCACTTGGGGTGAAGGAGCAATGCAGTCACTCTCTCACACCTCTGTGACCTTGCAGGCTGTCCACTCTGCCAGGGATCTCTCCCCTCACCCACGTCTAATTGGGAAACTCCTGCTCAGTCGGTACCACCCCACCCAAGAACTGCCCCCTCTGTGAAGTCATCTCTGATTCCCATTAAGCAGGTTCAGTCTCTCTCCTCTGGCTGACCCTAGCATTTTGTACACACTCTTAGAGTCACTCATTCACTCACAGACTCCATCAGTCAACCAACAAACACTTGCTAACTACCTAGGTCCCTATAATAGGCACCGAGGTCACCAACAAGAGCAAAATGCTAGCATCTGTTGGGTACTTATTATGAACCAGGCAGTTTTAGAGGCTATCGTATATTCTTCACAATAACCCTATTAGTAGGAGCGATGCCTGTCTCCATGATTCAGACGGGAACACTGAAGCACAGAGAAGTCAAGTTACTTACCCATGTCTCACAGCTGCTAAGGGGGAATCCAGGGTTGCTGCTGGTGCTCTTTCTCACTCCGCCACACACTGCCTCTCCCGGGGCTGGACGAGTCACAGTCCGCCCTGGAGTTCCTCTCACACACCTCATTTCTTACTTCTAGGGCAACCCACCACCCTGGCTTGCCTGGGACCGGGGAGTTTCCTGGGATATGAACCATCCAGTGATAAATGGGAAATTCCCGGGCAAAGCAGGACACGCTGGCCACTCCCGTCCTCCCATGAAAGGTCGAGGAATCGGATCCATACCTATGGCTCTCCAACTCTAGGCCACCCTCCCAAGCAGCCCCAAAGGAAGGAAGGCAGCTGAGTCCAGTGGGATCCTGTCAAAAGGCAAGGAAGCCCCTCCTGGCTGTGGGTCCCAATAGCCCACACCCTCCCCCAGCCCCAAGGCCTGCTAGGGGCAGAAACGGGGGTGGGGGGACTGGCTGGAGGCCACAGGCCAGGAAGGCCACCTCAGAGCAGGTGCCAGGCCCACCTCATTCCCAGAGCCAGCCCCAGTCACCATCAGGGGAAAGCTCCTGACCACCCTCTCCCCTTCCTCAGCCAAGGGGAGAGCTGATCATTGCCTTGCCCAATTCAGTCAGGAACCAGAGCGGACCCCGTCCTGCCTGGTCCCCTTTTGGGATGAGGAAGGGAAGGGCCTCTGCACCTCTGTCTCTCCCTCTGCACCTCCGTCTCTCCCTCTGCACCTCCGTCTCTCCCTCTGCCCGTCTGCTCCTTTTCCCAGCCCTCTGGCTGGTCCTGCAGGTCTGCTCGGACACACTCCTCTGCCAGAGAAACAAGAGCACAGAGGAGAAGAGAGACAGATTCCTGGAAGCTGAGGAGAAATAAGAATGGGGTGAGCAGCACTAAGCCCTGAAACAGAAGCCTGTAGCCCACTAGCATGGACACAGGCCACGGGTGTGCACCTTCCACACTCAGGCTCCTGACCCCGCATGCCCACAGTCCACGCCCACTATCTTTTCCCTGCGTGGTTGAATGCTTCAGAAAGCCATGGTCATCTCTCCCCTTCTTCTTTGGCCTGAGCATTTCTGTAACCCAAAGACCTTGTCAGACCCCGTGACTTCCAGCAGCATCCATAAGGGGTCTCACCTCCCCCCTTGAAATCCACCCTGCACTTCATTTTGGCACCCCCCCTCTCCTGGCTCCCTCCTGCCTCTGGCCTCTCTCTCCCAGCTGCCTTGGCTGATGACTTTCCAGCCCACCACCCCCGACACAGTGGAGAGACTCTGGCTCAGTCCCCAGACAGGGACTCCTGCATCTGTACTATCCCTGGCGATGGATCTCAGAAGTATATCAGTCTCGCATCTCTTAATATACTTCCTGAATGCTGATGACTTCCAAAAAATACAAGTCCCCCATGAAAGAAGAGGCTCCCAAACATACATCTTCAGTCCTGGTAGGCTGTTCCTATCCATCCTCAACACCCCATCAACATCCCCACAGAGATCTTCAACAGAGATCCTCAACCCCACCCCACCAAGATAGTCCTCCCTTTATACATGGTTTAGCTTTTCATGGTTTTAGTTACCCATAGTCAACTATAGTCCAAAAATACTACATGGAAAATTCCATTAATAAGCAATACTAAGTTTTAGATTGCACACTGTCCTGAGCAACATGATTAAATTGTGGGCCAGCCTGCCTAGGACACAAACCATTTCTTTGTCCAGAGTATCCACACTGTATGTGCTACTCTCTCATTAGTCACCTAGAAGCCATCTTGCCTCTGGCTCAAGCACCCTTTGTTTTACTTAATAATGGCCCCAAACTGCCAGAGTGGTGAGCTGGCAATTTTATTATAATATATTGTTAAAATTATCACATTTTATTTTTGGTCATTGTTTACCTCCTACCATTCCTAATTTATAAATTAAACTTTATCATAGAAATGTATGTGTAGGAAAAACATAACATACAGAGGGTTCGGTACTGTTCCTTTCAGGTGTCCACTGGGGATTTTGAAATGTAACCCCAGGGGCCGGGGGCACTTCTGTATTTGTGGAATGAATGAATGAACAAAGTTGTAATGAGCAAATAATCATTTGAGCCATCAGTGAATAAACTCATCATAGACACAGGGTGATAGGTGAAGGGCACACAGAGGAATGGATTCCTGGGGCCAAGCAAGGGTGAATCTCCTAATGAGCAAGCTGAGCGCAGCGGCCAGACGCCAGGAGTCTGTGGGAGTCCACCCACGGGAAACTCCAGATCGTGCACACAGCTCTGCAGGAACAGGGAGCATATCAGTAGCTGCAGGGGAGGAGGGTGGAAGGGGACACACTGCACAGCACACAGACCCCCAGGGATGGAAACGTCCTGTACCTGACCGTGGTGTGCTTTGGTGGCTCCGTGCGTCTGTCAAAGCTCATTGAACTGTCCACTTCAGGTGGTGGGGTTTTGGTGTAGAAGTCGCACCTCAGTCCTGTTGATTGAAGAAGAAGGAAGTTGACCAAAGGATCGATCCATCGACTCTCTCATCACCGCCCTGCCAGCCCGGCCTGGGCTCCATGCTCAACAGCAAAGCCCTCGCCAACGTGCTTTTCTTTCCTGGCCAGAGCTTTTTGCGCGAGGATGGGAGTTGATACTTAGTGCCGACTGTTACGAGGCAGGCGGCTCAGAAAACACACCAAGTCCATTTTGTCCAAATTGAAGAGTCTTTATTTAGCCACCGGTGACTGCTCCCCATGGGATCCATAACTGTCTCTGCAAGAAATGGCCTCTGAGAGTTTCAGGGTCTTTATAGGCCAAAAGCATGTCCGGGTTGACGTAGCCGCAAGCAAGCAGGGCTCCAGAAGCTGGATGGAGGGTTAGCGAGACAATGCGATGGGTACCCTGGTATTTCCCAAGGGACTTTCCAGGTTGGCATAGCAGCAAGCCAGCAAAGGGAAGCAGTCAAAATGACACTAGTTGAGTACAGTTAGAGAATGGTTACTAACGTCCAGACAGTCCATCTCTGACAGGGTACATGCCCAAGAAAAATGGGAACCAAAGAGAGAGCATTTTACACTGTGTAAGAATTGCCATCTCGTGTTGCCAGGCATGCTCTGCTAAGCAACTGTTGGCAGGTCCAGAGGGGGTGTCCCCAGGGGAGAAGCATTTCTCATACAACGTGGAGTCTCGGGGTAAAATGGAGTCTGTGTGGTCTTTGCCCACATAGCTTGGCCCACACACCACTCCATGTCAGACGCCTCATCCAGACTATTTCGGTTCTTCCTCACAAAGACCTTGTACGGTGGACAATGCTCTTCCCATTTTACAGATAAGGGCACCGAGTCTCAGGAAAGAAAAGAGGCGTCTCCAAGACCATTCAGCCCCAAATGGCAGAGTCCTGATTCACACCCAGGTCAGTCGGACCACCAAACTAATCCATTCACCCATCCACCCATCCATCTATCCACTTATCTATCTATCTATTCACCTACCCACCCACCCAACCATCCAACCACTCATCTGTCCGTCCATTCAGCCATCCACCCAGCTACCCGTCCATTCATCCATCTATCCATCCATCCACCCATCCATTCACCCAACCACTGTTAGGGTTTGGATGTGTGTGTCCCCCCGGAGCTCAGAGACGATGCAGGAGTGTCCAGAGATGAAATGATTAGCTCATGAGAGTTGTCACCTCATGGGTGGATCGGTTCACTGATGTGGATTAACTGGGCCGTGACAGTCAGCAGGTGGGGGTGGCTGGAGGAAGTAGGTCACTGGGTGTGTGACCCCCGGTGAGCAGAGTTCTCTTCCTGCTTCTCCGCTGTCATGTCCCCTGCCACACCCTTCTGCCAGGATATTCTGCCTCATCTCGGGCCCAGAGCTACGGAGTCAGCCGACCCTGAACTGAAACTGTGAGCCAAATAAAACTTTCCCTCCTCTAAGTTGTTCTTGTCAGGACTTTTGGTCACAGCAATGCACAAACTGTGTGTGTGTGTGTGTGTGTGCACGCGCGCTCGGTGCCTTGGTCGTCTCCCATCTTCCTATCTCTCAGAGAAGGCACTGCTACTGCCAGGGAGGACACATGTGTTTGTCATCATGTTCCAGCGTCATGAGAAGATTCAAGGAGAAGCAGTAGCCAGGCCAGATGTTGTCTCCGCTCCCTTGGGGACAAAGACATCATCCCAGCTGGAGCAAGAAGTTCAGCCAGTGGTGTCTCTTTTGGGGTGAGAGAAATTGAAAGGGGCTTTTCTATGCCCAAGGATGGGGCCAGGCATTGTGACAGCAACGTCAGTAGGCGTTCACAGTAAAACTGTGAAAATACAGAGGAGTCCTCCACAGAACCTGGGCCTGTAAACCATGCCACACAAGCTCAAGGAGGAAGGCGGGAGAGACCTTAACAACACTCAGGGCGCCATGCCAGACACTCGCAGGCTCACTCCGCTGGGCCTCCCAGCACCCAACCAGGTAGAGAATATTCTGTCTCCCTGAAGAGACTGAGGCTCAGAGAAATGAAGGTAAAAAAATCCCATGAATGGTCCATGATGTGCTGCTTTGTCCTCTGCCAACCGTTTCTCCCACCAAACAGACCTTGCCGACTTCAGCATTCCCCTAACTTGGCATTTCACACTGAGAGCTACAGATGCCCCAGACGTCTGTCCACACACGCATACACTCAGTCACCTCTCCATCTGTCCATGTCTACACTGACACACCCAGTCATTCCACTGCCCACATTCCACTCACCCACACACAAGCCTTCACACAGCCGTCCGCTCGCCTGCACACACGCTTCACCCATGCTTCACCCGGTTACAACTGAACTACCCAGCCAAGCACTCAACCACCAGATGGTCCACCCACTTCACTAGCCAACCAATCACCCAACATACACACATCCAGCTATCTCCATGTTTACCTACCTATTTACTCCATCCTTATTCCAGGACTTACCCACCCATCCACCCATCCATCCACCCACCCATCCATCTATCCACTTATCTATCTATCTAGCCACCTACCCACCCAACCACCCATCCACTATCCATCCTTCCATTCACCCATCCATTCACCCACCCACCCATCTATCCATTCACCCACCCACCCATCCATCCATCCATCATATACTCACCCAACCATCTATCCACCCATCCATCCATCCACCCATCCATCCATCCATCATATACTCACCTACCCATCCATCCACCCATTTATCCACCCACCCATCCATCTATCCACTTATCTATCTATCTAGCCACCTACCCACCCAACCATCTATCCACCCATCCATCCATCCATCATATACTCACCTACCCATCCATCCACCCATTCATCCACCCACCTACCCATCCATCTATCCATCTACTCACCCACCCACCCACCCATCCATTAACTCACCCCCCACGCCCCCATCCACCTATCATCCCACCCATCCATCCGTTCACACACACAACAAGCCACCTACTCTTTCCCATCCCCTCCACACGTCCATCTACTCCTCAGTTCAGCCATCCAGCCATCACATTCCATCTACACAGAAACCCACATGTACTATGGTGGCTGACTTCATCTGTCAACTTGGCTAGGTCACATTACCCAGGGATTTGGTCCAACACTGATACAGATGTTGCTGTGAAGGTTTGGTGGGGGGGTGGGGGGTTTTAGAAAAGATTAGCATTTGGAACACCAGATTTGGAGTAAAGTTGATTACCCTCTATCATGTGGGAGGGCCTCATCCAATCAGCTGAAGGCCTTCAGAGAAAGAAGACTGAGGTTCCCCGTGAAAGAACAAATTCTCCAGAGGCCCTCAGAGTCTAGCTGTACCAGTTCTTCCTCGGAGGCCCAGCTGCCAGCCTGCCCTGTGGATTCTGGCCTTGCCGGCTGCCACAAGCTTGTGAGCCAATCCTCTAAAATCAACCTACAAGTCTATACCCACATCTGTTTCCATGCCTACCGCCTCCTGTTCCGAGTTCGTGGAGAACCCGAGAAACACACATGTGTATACCACAACCACCCCTATCCAAAGCATCCACCCCACTCACCCTACTTGGAGCTTTCTGAGAACCTTCCTACTGTTCCCTAGAATGTCACATGAGTTTGACTATAAAGGCACTGAGTCCTGTGGGTGCTTCAGGGAGCTTCGCCGAGCTCGCTGTGACTTCCGGTGCTCCCTGCAGCCCCTAGGCATGGGCTCAGAAGCACGGCCTGGTGTAAGGAGAGCCCGAAGAGGTGAGCCAGGGAGTGAAACGGTCCCCTGTGTGCCTGGGAAGAAGCCACCCGGAGCCAGGTGGGAGCCGTGGAGGTGGACAGAGGCGTTTTTACAGAAGCACAGGCAGGGAGCAACTGAGAGGAGGTGATGGAGACCAGCAGGACCCCGCGGCTCCAGCTGGGGCGACAGCCTGTGGAGGAGCCCGGCTGAGAGCGGGAGATGGCAGAGGAAGGGAAGGCACAGGCCAGCGGCTCTCAGACGCTAGGCAGAGACCCTGATCAAGTAAGGGGACCTGCAGAGCCAGAGCTCATAGAACAGAGCTGAGGGTGGACCCCGAGCCAAGGAGTGAGTGGTCACAGTCCCACATGAACTGAGGGTCTCAGGGCCACCAACAGACCCCCATACAGAGCAGTGAGGGGACTGTCCTTCCTGGGTCCGCCTCCCCCTGCTTGGAGTTCCTGGGGAGAGCTGGGTCCTTCCAAGCAGCTGGCTCTGTCTCTGGGGCTCAGGGAGGTTCCCAGGAACAGGCCAGCTCCACGGGTGTCCTGCACAGATGGAAACGGGGCCGCCCCGTGCTCCGGCCAAGGGGTGGGCCCCCAGCTCCAGCTGGAAACCCCATTTAGGGGCAGGGGTATGTTGTGCTGCTCCCTGGGTGGCTGGCTGGGCCACTCAAGCACAAACTGTTGTCTCTGCCATAAATTCCCCCGGCCATAAAGTCCCTCCCCGCTGACCCCTCGGTTGGTGTGAGAAACTGAGGGCAGGGCAGGGCAGGGCAGGGTGATGACCTCCTGACTCTAGGGCCACTGGCCTCCCAGGCCACCATATTATTCCTTTCAAGGTTTCATGAGTCAGGACCCCAACACCGAGGGACATTCCCCGGCCTGCAGTCAGAGCCCCGCTCAAAACCCAGCAGTGCCGTTCCCCTGCGCTCGGCCCTGCCCACCCCGTCTCTAGCCTGGCTCCTTCACGAGCACATTGTCTTAGAGGAGTCCTGCCTTGCCTCTGAAGGGGACTCTGGGGGTAAACGAAGAGGGACAGTCTCGTGCCACAGACAGGAAGAATCTCTATGAACACTTCACCACGTTTAATCTCTCTGAGCCTCAGGTTACTAACCTGCAGAACTGGGACCATCACGGACCTACCTCCAGGGGGGTGTGAATAAAGGGGACACCTAACAAGGTCCCACTGGCCACACAGGGGGCAGATGAGGACCGGGAAGGCCTCTGACTGAAGGACAAGCACATCCCCCTCATGAACATTTAAAGGATGCCGAAGTGATCAGAGGACACCCTGATGACCAGGGAAACAGGATGATAAAGGGCTTTGTGAGCTGGGCGTGCGTGCACACACCTGTAATTCCAGCTGCTTGAGAAGCCGAGGCAGAAGGGTCACAAGTTCAAAGCCAGCCTGGGCAACTTGGCGAGAACTTGTCTCAATAATAATGATAAGGGGCCGGGGCTGGGGCTCAGTGGCAGAGCACTTGCCTCACACACGTGAGGCACTGGGTTTGATCCTCAGCATCACATAAAATAAATACATAAGTAAAACAAAGGTATCGTGTCCATGTTCAACTAAAAGAATTTACCTAATAATAGTAATAATAAAAAGGGCTGGGATGTGGCTCAGGGGTTAAGAGCCCCTAGGTTCAATCCCCAGTGCCAGAAAAAGAGGGGACGGTGAAGGCTTGGCGGCTCTGCCTGAGTGTCACCTGGTGGTGGCACCTAGCTGAGTCCCTCCCCAGGAATTGCCCTCAGCTGAAACGAGTGCACACACACACACTCATGCACACACTCACACACTCACACTCACGCACACACACACACACCCTAACACACACTCACACACACACCCCGCTTGTTCTCCGTGCTCCAGCCACTCTGAACTCCTTTGGCTTCCAGAATATTCCGAGCATCACATTCTCTCTTCTGAGTCCCAGGCTTGCTGGTCTCTGGGTGAAATACCCTTCCCCACCACACCCAGCAAACGTCTCTGCATTCCTCAGAGGCCAAGTTTAGGGTCTGTCCCTTCCAGGCGGCTTACCCATGGGCACCAGGGAAGGGCTAAGTGGCCCTCACTACTTCTGCAGCTCCCAGCTCCCTGTGCCCTCCACTCTGAGCAGCTGCAGGGACCAGCACTGTAAACCCCGCTGTGTTGCACTTTGAAACACACCAGAATCTGTATTCGCTCTCCAGACGCTCTCCAGAGAAACAGGACCATTGTATATGGAGGTACATCGGGAGTGATCATGAAGGGTTCAGCATGTGACCACGGAGTAGAGAAGTCCCTCCATCTGCCATGGGCAAGCTGGAGGCCCAGGAGAACCAGTGTTGCGGTTCTAGTCCAAACCCAAAGGCCTGAGGGGAACCCATGGTGTCAGTCTGAGTCCAGGCTCTGGGAAACAAGGGGGCCAGGACTGTAGGTCCTGGTCCACGGCCAAAGGCGCAAGAACAAAGCACACCGCTGTCTGAGGGCAGGAGGAGAAGGAAGCCCCAGTTCCAAGGAGACAGTAGAACCCACCCTCCTCCACCATGTTGTTCTGTTCAGGCCCCCCACTCAGGGGATGAGGCCACCCACCTTGGAGAGCGCAGTCTTCTCTGCTCAGTCTACTAATTCAGACGTTAATCTCTTCCGGACAGACACAGACACAGCCAGAAATAATGCTTCACCAGCTATCTGGTCATCTCTTAGCCCAGTCAACTTTACATAGAAGATTAATGATCCTAAACTTCTAACCCAAATTCAGCCCAAATCTGCTCTTTGACTTCCTCCTTGACTTTGGAAAGCAAATAGCCAAGGGCAATGCCACTGTCATTTCCGGCATCACCAGCCATGCAGTGCCTGGTCATGTGGTCACGTGGCTTTCCCATCACTTGCAACTGCTCTTGCAACTTTAGAGCTACATCCAAGGCACGCTCTTCCTTATTGTTGGTCTCTGGACCATCTAACTATCTTTTTCAGCCCAATTATACTTTATGAACAGCCCTGGAAAATAAGCACAGTGTTTTTTCTCCAGAGCAAAAGGCACATCTGTCTGCTGTGCACTATAACAAGGAAAGTATCTTCCTTCAGGGCAAAATGCAAGCCGATCCCTGCCTATCACAGAGGATTCAGTCCCCTTGGCCCGGCTCCCTGGGCTTTGACACTGACCCACTGCATGGGCCTCCTCCTGGGTCCCTCCACATCAGCCCCATCAGCGAAGGTCACCTGCCTGCTATGCTGTGAGTAATGTTGTCCTTTGTCTCTGTCCTTTGTGTCTGCCAGCTCCATGACGCCCACAGGCTAGCTTGTTAGCTGATGAGTAGGGTACAAACTCCAGCCCTTCAGAGCTCCTGGTGACAGTCTATTGGAATATGAAGACAGAGCATACCTGGTCCGGCTCCACGGGAAACTGGCTCTGAGACCTGAGGACCCGTCCAGGGCACTCAGACAGAAGAGATGACCCCTTGGCTGCCTCTCCCAGTCTGGGCAAGGAGGTGGGGACAAAGAAGTTTCCAGGGCAGCCCTCTGTCCTGGCATTTCTCTTCCCAGTCTGCACATGGGCCCTCTCCAAGCAGGGCTGCGGTTAAACCCCCTGAACAGGAACACTGAGGCTGGGACTTGGCAGGGAACAGGCGGGCGCAACACCTGGCCACCACCAAGGCACCACCTTCTGTGCTTTAACCATTATGCAAATGGCCATTTACAGCCAGGTGGATGGTGAGGAGCAGATGGCTGAGACGCCCAGAAGCCTGCTCTGAATTCACAGCAGATCTCTGGGGGCTGGAAAGCCAGGGGCTCTGTCTCCTTCCACGAGGAGAAGGTGGAGCGCATTTGAGGAGAAAGGCAGGGAGGGCTCGTCCCCGCTGGGCAACCACTACACGTCAGGAACAGGCTACAAGGAAGGGCCTCTTGGCATGGCCCAAGCTCCTGTCCTTCCTCTGCCAACTCCACACTCAAGGGCCACCACATGCAGGATTCTGGTCACATACGCAGGCTCTGATCAACACAGATCATAAGAGCAATAGCCTGAAATATTCCAGAAGAGTCGACGAGCTCTCGGGAAGAGAGAATTTTTGGGGTCCTGGGGGCCATTCGAGCCCTGCTGTGAACTACTCAATTCCACCATGGGTGTGATTGAGCTCCAACCAAACCGAATTTTTATCTATAAAATAGATTTTATTCTGGACTGGATTTGGCCCGCAGGCCCATACTTGGCCAACTCAAATGTCAGAGTAAAGTTACAAAACATTGTAGCCTGTTTAAAATATTTAGCACTGACAAATTAAAGAGTTTTAACCTCCACAAAATACAAGATATTCCTAAGAGACTTAGGACTTCTTAAAACGTCAATCTATAAAACACTATAGGACACACTGTATGGTGAGACCTGTCTTCTCTTATTTACCTTAAGATGATTCTGAGGCAATAGTAGGTGATCAGTTAGCTTTGATTTCAGATAAACAATGAATAGGGTGGTGCTAAAATATAGGGTACTCACTTATCTTAGATTTCAGGTCAACAATGCATACTGTTTTAGTGTACATCCCGGGATATACAGTATATCCTGGGATATAATTTTTATTTATTTGTTTGTTTATCTGACATTGAAATTTACCTGATGCCCTATATTTTTAATTGCTAAGTCCAGCAATCCTGTAAGTGTGTGCAATCCCACTTGAAGAGAATGTTGAAAGTCTGAACCCAGCATGGTGGTGCACAACTGTAAACCCCTTGGCTCCAGAGGCTGAGGCACGAGGATGCCATGCTTAAGGCCAACCTCAGTGACTTATTGCGACACTGTCCTAAGATAAAACACAAAAAGGTTTGGAGACATAGGTCACTGATAGCTCAATCCCCAGTACCAAAGGAAAAAGGAAAAAAGAAAGTCTATATCGGCAGCACTTTGTGATTGTAGTGCCAGGGCCAAATGGATGGTCCCTGAATGCCCCACTACCGCCCACTAAAGCCTTGGAACCAGAGCAGAAAAGTCACCTTCCAGGCACATGGATCGAGGCCCACCCAACGTCGGGAACCCAGGAGGTTCTGGGCAAATCGAAGTCTTGGTTCTACCCCGCCATCTGCACAGCAATCTCCCAGCTGCCAGGCAGGTGACACTAACCTGCAAGACCAGCCGTTTGTACCTGGGTGAGGAACATTACTAGAGACAACCGGTTCCTGCTTGGGCCACTGGAACCAGAACTCCCCGGGGGGGTCCTGGATGCTATGAGCAGAGGAAGAAGTCCTCTGTCCCTCCAAATACCTAACCTTGACCCTGAGGTCACCCCAGCCCTGCTGGTCATTGCCCTAGACAGGAGCTCCCTCGTGCCATGGGGCTCCAAGGCTTCCGCACCCCAGGTCTCCCAGACGCCTTGGTATGCATTTCTAGAACTTCCCGGCCCTGCACGTCCCCCACAGCCCAAGGCTGCTCACGGTCAGCCCATGGCTTATGTGATGAGTGCTTGGTGCTTGTCTTCCCTGCTGAGCTCCAACAGGCTGAGCCCTGCCTCTTAGGATGTGTCCTAAAAAGATTCTCCTGGCCTGGCAGACCTGGCTCCATGGCACGGGCAGGCTGGCAGACGAGTGGGCTGGGAGCCCCACCTTCACTGCAAGGCAGAGGGGTGTCGCCCCTCAGGCTGGGTCTGGGCAGCCTGTGCTAAGTGGAAAGGGGACAGGAGAGGAAAGGGAGAGCCCGAGGCCGGGGTCTTCTGCCCCCAGGACAGCTCTTCACTCTGTTCTTGCCCAAGCCCATGAGGCTTGATGGTGCCCAGGCGAGACCCAAGACAGGGTGGATGGGCTGACCCGAGGCAGCCTTGGCCCCTCTGCCCCCAGCCAGAAGTACAGTGGACAATGGCCAGGCCCTGGAGCTGGACACCCTGGACAAATCCCAGCTCACCCGTCCCTGCACATGTGGCCTTGGACAGGCTGCTAGGACTTTGGGTCTCAGCTCTGCCCACAACTGGGGAGAAGAAACACACCACCCCGCTGCTATGGGGGGTCAAATAAAACTCACCTCAGAACGCCATGGCACCCAGGAGAAGCCCACGCTCGTCTGGTGGACTTGCCCGTCCCCCTCTGCCTCCGGGTCTCTGCTCCTTGCTGGGCAGGCATTGGGAGGAACAAGAGGCCATGCTGGACGCAGCCCCAGGCTCTGAGAGGGAAACAGGGCCAAACATAACATCAGATGATTAAAACTGTGGACTGTAAACAGCAGCCCAACTGGCCAGGGCACCGTGGCCAGCAGACCGCGGCCAGTTGCTCCCCAGGCCCGTGGCCACACCACCTGCTGCCCTGTATCTGGGATGGGCCCAGCTCCACGGGCACAAGGCAGACTGGCATGTTTTCCTAGCTGAGCCCTGGAGGCCTGGCCAAGCCCTGTCCTCAGGCCAGGCTGTGCCAGGGGCAGAGAGAGCTGCCCACCCTGGCCATGCCCTGGACCAACAGGTGGTGCTTGGTGCACACAGCCAGGGTGGGACCCCATGCTGTCACTCAGTGACTGTGGCCAGGTCATTTTACCTGAGTCCCAGGGGCTTCATTCCAAAAAATAAGAACACTAAGGGCCACTCTGTCCCTAGACTGCAGCATAAGGGTTGGCGAGAGGATGCACTGAAAGCCAGTGCCTGGCAGAGTGGCAAGCGGAACTGCGTCCCCAACCTGCAATGTCCCAGTGGCCACTGCCCCAGCCAAGCGCCCACGGCCCCTTCTGTAAATGGGGGTGCAGCCCACGCACTGCCTCACAGGCTCCTCCCCACACTCCGGCCCTTGAGAAGATTCAAGGAGACACTGTTCCAGCCACACCCGCCATCCGCAAGGGCCGGAGTTTCTCTTGGGCGTATTCACTGATTTCTACGTTAATTACTGGTTAATTAATTATTCTCCTCCTTCCCTCTGAGGCAACTAAGTCCGGCAGGCCCCCTCAGGAGTCGCCACAAAGACCACAGGGCGAAGGGTCCAGCATGCTCCTTCCCCAAACAGGGGCCAAGCCCTTCTTGGCCAGCACAGACCAGGACACAGAAGGAAAGGACAGTTGGTGGCCGTGACAAGAGAGGGTTGAGCAACACCCTGTAAAGGATTGAGGATCTGGCCTGTCTTCTTTCCAGCCCTGAAGTTCTCTGATCCTCAGCTCCCAGGGGGCAGGGGGGGCCCGAGATACTCTAGCCCAGAGGCCTGGGGAAGCCCCTCATAGGGAGCAGGAGATGCTGGTCACATCCCCTGAGGCTGGCTCAGGACTCCCATTGGCACCCAGGGTCACGACCCTGCCGTGGTCTGCCCAGCCTGTCTGAAACCCAAGCCAGAGAGAGGGTCCCAGGCCAGCCACTCCCGTCATCGTGGGATTCTGCCGTGGTCCCAGCGAGCTTCCTGCTAGAATCAGTAAAACATGGCTGTCCTCTGTTCCTGGAAGACAGCCGAACAGGAGCCAGCCACCCGGGGCTTTCCTGACCAGCCCACCCAGAGGGCCGCCGCGGCAGGGCCTCACCAGCTCCTTCCCTCCGCCTGAGTTCTCCCCACTCCTGAGCTGGGACCCGAGCCTCCTGGCCCCTGAGGACCAGACCCAGGGTTCAGCACAGTGCTGGGCACGCTGGGGGTGCCCCGTGGACATGAGTGGACATGTCCCCTAGAGGAAATGGTGACTGAGGGACCAAATCTACAACCGAAGGAGGACTGCAGACAAAGATCACTTCCTCAGGGTCTCTATGGGATCCCCAAAGAAACACGTGTGTGTGTGTATGTGTGTGTATGTGTGTGTGTGTGTGGTGTGTACATGTGTGTGTGTGTGACTGTAAGCACAGCTGTTCACAGATGAGTGCCCCTGTGATAATGGGCACCACCAGCTATGTGTGGGCTCTCCCTGCTTGTGACTCTATGAGTGTGCCCACCAGAGAGAGCTGGAGCCTTGTGTGGTGTGTGGTGTGTGGTGTGTGTGTATGGTGTGTGTGGTGTGTGTGGTATGTGTGATGTGTGATGTGTGTGGTGTGTGGTGTGTGTGGTGTGTGGGTGTGGTGTGTGGTGTGTGGTGTGTGTGGTGTGGTGTTGTGGTGTGTGTGGTGTGTGGTGTGTGTGGTGTGTGGGTGTGGTGTGTGTGGTGTGTGTGTGTGGTGTGTGGGTGTGGTGTGTGGTGTGTGTGGTGTGTGGGTGTGGTGTGTGTGGTGTGTGTGTGTGGTGTGTGGGTGTGGTGTGTGGTGTGTGAGTGTGTGTGTGTGTGCGGCACCCTGGCCATCCTGTGATCCGCTTCCCGCCTCTCCAGACTTGGGTCATCCTCAGCACGGTCCTGTGACCTTTCACCCAGGCATTCGGTAGCCGTGGAGGGGCCAGCTGTGTGTCCTGCCTGACCCTGGTGGCCCCCGGCCTCTGCATCCTCACCTCCGTCCACCCCCCACTCCTCCGTTGAGTGAACACTTGTTAAATCATTACATGGGCTAAACTTTGGTTTTGTGGGTTTTCCTCTTTTCCGCAAAGGATCAAGATTCACATTTCCTATCTGCCCAAGCCCCTCCCCCGGGCGCCCCGTTAGGGGTTCTGGTTGTCACACCATCATTTGCTACAGAAACTCAGGGGCCTTAGTCTGTTTTGTGTTGCAAGACACCTGAGGCTGGGCTCGTTGGCTGAACGGAGGTTGACTGGCTCACAGCTACGGAGGTTCAAGGCCGTGATGCCAGTCTCTGCCTGGCTCTGGTGAGGCCTCCTGGCCGATGGAGCCCTGTGCACCAGTGGCCGAGTGGCCATTGGCATCTGCAGAGGGGGGACCCAGGGAGTTCCCAGGGGCACTTACACACCCATTCTTACAGGAACTAGTCCAGTCCCACGAGACCCGCCCACTCCGTGAGACCCTGGGAACAGACAGGCCCCAGTCACCTCCCTCTCTGCCCCTCCCCTTGGTGGTCCCACCACCCAACACCACATGCTGGAGGCCAAGTTTCCAGCACAGGAACCTTTGGGGACAAAGCTTACCCAGGCCATAGCAGCAGGGTGACAGCACCCACCCCACAGAGTCCTAAAGTCCTCAGGACATGGCCCTCAGGAGGTCCTCCTGAGATGACTGCCTCACAGGAGTAGGGCAGCCCTGGGGCCACTTGCTATGGCCTCAGCAGGCCACTCTACCTGCCTGAGGACGGTGGGCCTCCTCAGCCATCCCCCAAACCCAGCATCCACGTCCTGTTGCAGGTGGACATCAAGACCCAGCTGAGCTCCGTGTCACACGGTGTGGCAGAAGGTGCCCAGCCCTGGTGGCTGCATCAGCTGGACCCGTTTCTGTTGCCCGGGCGCCGTGGTCCTGGCCATGCTCCGGAGTGCCCTTAGCAGTGACTCGGAGTCAGACTTCAACCACCGACGACTTTTTACCTGAGTTATGGTTCTTTTTATCTTCTCTAAGAAAAGCTCACCAAATGTCCAGCCTTATGATTTCCCCAAAATATGATTTCCTCGGTGGTGGCCGGGCCTGCTTGGGTCCTGGCACCAGGCCCTTACCACGGAGCAGCTCCAGTCTCCTCGCGGTGGCATCTCTGTCTGCCTGGCCAAGCAGCAGGAGAGAGCCACTTATTTTTTTTTTTCAACTTGGTAAAATACGCACACAGTTCACTCCTTCCACCACCTTGAGTTTGAATTCCGTAGTGTAAGGACACCAACCTCCAGAGCCCTCCATCTTACAAAACTGAGTCTCAGGGCTACTAAAAACCCCCCTGCTCCCTCCCCCCAGCACCCTGGAGCCCTCTGTCCTTCTTTCTGTCTCTATAACCTCGATGATCTATGGTGGCTTTGGAAGTGGAATCCTACGGTGTCCCTCCTCGGAGGACTTGCTTCACTTAGCATAATGCCTTCGAGGCCCATCCACTGGCAGCAGGCAGCAGGATTCCTCCCTGTTGAAGGCTGAATAATATTCCATTGTGTGTCTGCACCATCTTCTGTTTCTGTCTCCACCAGGGGTCCCCCGGGTTGCATCCAGCCCTGGGCTATGGTGCACAGTGTTGCTGTGGACCTAGGCGTGCAGGTACCTGTGTCCTCCCTGCTTTCAAACTTGGGGAATCTACACAGAAGCAGGACTGCCGGGTTGCTTGGCAACTCCACTATTTACTTTGGGGGCCCAACATGTTCCTTTCCACAGCAGCTACACCGTCCTTCATACCCCCCAACGCACACGTTCTAATTTCTGCACATCAGCACCAGTACTCTTTCTGGAAGTTTCCGGGGTTCTGTTTGTTTCGCTGGCTGTAGCCACCCTAAGGGGTGTGAGGGCCGATCTCGTGTGGCTTTGATTGGCATTTCCCTGGTGGTTAGCGATGTGGCTCAGGAGGTCACTCTTGAACCATGAAACCAAATGGGGGATTCTCCACCCCCGCCACCTCCTGGACCACATGAGGCTATGGCCTTCACTCACTCACACATGCACTTCGGGGCTGTGCTGAGCTTCTGACAGATGTTTAGAAGAAACACTGCCCCAAAGCTATGACCTTGAGGAGACGTCTAAATGCCACATGGAGAAGAATCCAAATGGCTATCGAATATGTGAAAAAAATTCTTTACCCTCACTCGTCACCACAAAACTATCTTTAAACATGAGGAGGACTCTTTTTTTTTTTAAGAGAGAGAGAATTTTTTAATATTTATTTTTCAGTTATCGGTGGACACAACATCTTTGTTTGTATGTGGTGCTGAGGATCGAACCCGGGCCGCGCGCATGCCAGGTGAGCGCGCTACTGCTTGAGCCACATCCCCAGCCCAAGAGAGGACTCTTCTTTTAATTTTGTGCCTCACCTTTTGGGAAGGACTTCAAAGGCTGACCAGGATACACATGTCAGCTCTGACAGCTGTGCAAACTTACGCACATCACTCACCCTCTCTGAGACTCTATTTATTCACCTGCATGAAGCAGGTAAAAGCACAGGAGCACAAACCTCACAGGGACGAGGTAAGGATTCAGTGTGGGTTGTGCTTAGCATTGGGCCTGGTCCCCACTGAGTGCTCAGGACACATTGTTAGCTCTTGTGTCCCATCCCTGCCCTGGCATGTTATCCAGGGGGGCTGTGGGTCTGCCCACTGAGCAGGGGTGAGATGGGGGCCTCTTGTTTGGGATGCTTGGGGGAGGGATTGAGAGAGATTAGGGGGCCCCGAATCTCGGTCCCCCGAGCCATGCTTGTCTGCCA